CCAGCGTCCCATGCTGAACTTAAACAAAAGAACTTCCCAAAAAAAGTAGCCCATGAAGCTCCGTAAAAAAAGGACTGCATTTATAGTCAGACTGTACTGTAAAAAAGGGACAGGCATCTCTGCCCCCAATATCTATAAGGCTCATAAATTGTTCAAGGAGGTTTCAACCACCTGGCAATCTTCATCTTACCCTCTGTGGAAACCACTGCAAATTGGTTGTCCCGGGCCCAGTTTTTTCGAGACCAAGGCCGCCCTCTGCCCTGGCGACTGGAACTCACTTTCCAATCAGCCAAAATCATCAACCGTGGGTTACGTGATGACTGAGCGTTAGGCTTCTTAGGCTTCTCCCCTCTGAAGATCAGGGCGTTTCTCGATCGCCATATTCCTGCATCACCACCCCTCTGCAAACCATGGCGACATACCCCTCTCCGTCGTTTCGATTTTAGCGGACATGCATTCCAAAGTTCCGAGTGTTCAATTGAAGAGAGGGTTTGACGTGCAGAAACGGATACGAACGGCGGAGGACAAAATTGCACGTGGAAGACATACGAACACTCGTGATACATCAATCAATCAACGACAAAATCGACGTCCCCATTGACCGCCGTCACGCCCTGTTTTTTTTTTTTTTTTCTTGGCCTTTTCGGCGAGGTGCACGGCCTGATATATACCGGGGCTAGGTCCCACTTGCACGAATTAAGAGATACTGACCGTCGATAGGGGGGACCTGTTGCCCCATCTCCCAGTCTTGGTCACCTGTGCGCCCTGACACGCATTTGGACGCTTTCTCGACCTGATACGTTCAGCCCTGGTTGAACCGGCGTCCAAGCGGACCACTGGGTTTCTCGCGACAACAGCAAGCCTTTTTTTTTTTTTTTTTTTTTTTTTTCCCCCGACAACAGCAAGCCTGAGCAGCAGCAAAACATAATCCACCAACACAGAAGCACAGAAGCTCATTTTTCTTGCTCAACTTCGACACCAACTGTTTTTCAACACAACCTGCATCGCTCATAACTCTATGATCTCTATCCATAGCTTACAAATCCCGCTGGCCAACCTCTCACTTTCACCAAACATCCATGTGGGCATGTGACCGCCAATAAAACAAGCCATACTACACATCCTACATCATCGTAACATCAACGATTGGCGTCGATTGCCAAATACGAAACTGTCAGGTAACTCAGGTTACACCCACCCCCGCTCATCCGGTTACCGTCTTCCCCCGAACATAACGCACCCTAGAAAAGCATGTATACAAGCTATATTTCCAGCCAGATGCAGCCAAAATAAGGGTGCTTTGTGTTCGGGGGAAAACGGTAGGCAGCACCGAATCACTCGAAATTTCAAGTTTTTACTGCCTTTGGGAAGAAGACACTCAAGTTCAGTTCTCCTCCTTTCGCGAATGGAGTGGACGAGTGGCAAGTTCCCTTACGTCGCGGAACAAACGAGATCCTCATGCAGTCAGTGGGTACTGCAATCTGCACCGCTGCATGGCCTCGACACTAAGTCCGTCCTTTTGCAAAACGAGGCCCCGCTGCGCTTATGCGAGCACACACCTAACGAAGAATATAGGCTCCCTTATAGCCAAAACGAGGCTCCGCATATGCGATCACACAACTAAAGAAGAATAGCACTTGACAATTCGATGATATAGAAGTCCAGAGCAATAATAAGTTAATAATAAACCTACACTCCTTCCTCTGCCCACGATGAGTTGGAAAACCATCTTTTTTTTTTTTTTTTTTTTTTTTTTTTTTGCCATGTGCCCGCATACTAGGTACGAGCAGCATCCTGTGGCAGATGTCCACACACACACACACACACACACACACACACACACGGCTCGGAGTGAATACGATGGACATCTTGTGGCATCTTGTAGCCGATGGCCACACACACAACCGCGCATGTACGAACAGCCAGACGGCCCACACCGGCACAGCGTTTGGTCAAGCCCCAACGACAACGACAACAACAAACTGCAAAGACATCAATGTTACGGACATATCGTACGGACAGCCAGACAACCAGGCATCATATCGTACGGACAGCCAGACCGACGCAGTGTTCGCCAAAACGCAATAAATACTACCTTCTTCCCCCGAATACAACATACGGTCAATACAGCTGTATTTGGGGTATCTTTCAGTCTAAATATATACCCCACCTTAAGGGGATGCGCAAGAGAGGGAAAGTGAGAACAACAGGGGTACTCAAGGCCTCAATCAGCGATAACGGCAGGACTCCAACAAGAACGCAGAGGGCAGTCAACCAGAAGTTCCAAGTATAAATCATTCAACACTACGGACAACACCAGACACCTTCCTTCACCACCATAGAGACAAGTACGAATAGAACTTCGCCGCTGAATCCAATTCTAAACCAAGCAGTTAGAAGTTACCGAGTCAATACTGACTCCCGCAAAACAATTTAAGAGAGGAAAACCCAACGAAACCATGGACTATCGTCAAACCCCGAACATACCGCACCTTTATATACCGTATACAAGCTAACTTTCCGATAAGACACAGTCGAATTGAGGACACAGTCAAAATGAGGGGTGCGTGGTGTTCGGGGGAACACGGTAGCGTCTACATAGCACACGAAGCTAACGACGAGCCCCGCACCTTTTGTAGTGCCCTACGCGTACACAGTCCTACTAGAATCCTTTCCTACTAGAATCCTTCTTTCATCCTCCTAAATCTTTACAATATATAATCGTCCTTCAAAATCTCATCTAGCTTCAACCAATGTTTGTTTCTTTGAATCGCGTTCATAAGAGGCCAGAAGGCCACGAAAAGCGTTCGCAAAGGTCGCAAACTTTTGCCGAAAATTTGCGAAACATTTGCGTATAGTCTTCGTCTTCTTCTATGACTATAGTCGAAATCTGGAAGAGACAGAACAAACAACTCACACACTTCAGACAGATTTCGACTATATCCATGAAGACCAAGACTATATGCGTTACAGCTCACATACACTTGACCGGATTTCGACTTATAGCAAGAAGACCAAGACTAAATCCGTTGGCGGAGGTAACAAAAACTGTCAAAACGCGCAGGGGGAATAGAGAAACAAAGAACCCAAACACACTTCTCCCCTGTATAGGGGTGAAGAGTACCTCGGGCACTAAAACATCCCTGGACAGATTTCCTATCAGACAATAAGGTACCAAAGCGTTAACCATGAACCCACCTGAATCAACACCTCAAACGCCGAGAATTTGCAGAGTTGAAAAAGGGTAAAGGGAAGGAGAAAGCGAGAAAGCCGGCATAGGAGCCCAAAATCCAAGCGCTTAAAAACGATCGACAGATTCAACAGTACCTGGTACAAACCCTCAGTCACTATGCCACCAGCACCCGTAACAAACCCATAGTACGCTAACAACTCCGACAGGATAAGAGAAAGGGACGAAGGCCGAGACGAGAGGAAGAGAGAAACGAGCGAGTGGGAGAGGGGAAGAGAGAGTGACGGGTGAGTGGGAGGGGAGAGAGACAAGTACAGGAATATGCGGAAAGGGGAGATACACAGGGACAGAAGAACAAGTGTGAGGATTCCACACTGGGCAAAACATGCTGACCGGAGAACGAAGGTTCAGATACTAGGCAGCCGCATTACACTAAGACGAGATTAGGGCACATTATACACTGATTACCGTGATTAATCTCTTCCCCCCTATTCTTTTAGAGATACTCTATATATAACAGACAATAAACAAGCGGGAACAATACACAAACACAGACGAGGCTAGGACACAGTACACTCTTCAGAAAGAAGACGGCCTCACTTTTCTTCCAGAGCTGGGACTCGTTTAAAAAAAATCCACGAAACAAACCAGGCATTAACCTCACCTTCTACCCCCATCTGGTCATCTTCTTATGTCAATGAAACGACATCGTCGTTCATGTACTGACCACGAACAAGATGTCTATGTACAGACGTCGACTCAGACACAAAACACGTGGATGCAGCAATTAAAGACTAGACAATCTGACACATGCAAACAATCAAAATTGTGGACGCTCAACGAATCCAATTATCTACCGGACGCTCCCTCATGCACTGGCC